ACCTGTGCCGCCACAGCAGGGCACTTCAGGGTGGCTGCCAGCAATGGTTTTCTTGATGCGTTTTAAGCCTGTTGCCTGTCGTTCTGTCACTTTAGCCATAAAGAACACATTGTTCTTTTCCACTCCAGAATCCTTTCAAGTAGGTGAGCTGCTGGTTCTCAGCCCCCAGCCAGCCCTCTCCTCTTCAGAACACACAAGTTCAGGTCCTTTAGCAGTTTTCCCGTAGGTTATATTTCTCTGAAGGGAGTGTTTTGGGCTTTTCCTCCTTTGCTTCTGCCTGGAGCCTGGTCCCCAGTGGGCGCAGGGCTCCAGCTGTGTGAGTGCAGAGCAGGACTAGTGCAGCCCTCGCTCGGGCTGGTTCTTGCTGCTGCATCTCAGCACGGGGAGGGCTTTTGCTGAAGCAGCCTGGCGGCATCAGCTTGTGCTAGGAAGTGCTGTTGGTTGTAACTCTTCTCCACTCTGCTGGTGCCCGTCAGGGGTGTCTGTGCCACGGTGACCAGCGGGCAGTGTCTGCACAGCCCCTTGGGCTTGTTCTGCTGAGGTGGAGGGGTTCATTCTTGGCAGGGCTACCAGGAATGGCTGGGGGAGAAAATTCTCTTGTCTTTATGCAACTTGGTCTTGACCCTGCCTGCAAACATGATGCATTTCCTTGTTTTTCAGATGCTTAGTTTAGCCTCCAGAAAACCCTGTAGAAGAGGAGTTGAGCTGAGTGTAATCCTCTTGTGTTCCCTCTTCACTCTGCTGTTGGTAAACACCAGGTGTGCTGCCAGCCTGGTTCAGGCTCTGCATCCTCCTTGGTCCCAGCAGCAGAACTGCTCACAGTCCTGGGAGTCGGCCTAAGAGTTTGAAATGCCTGTCTGAAGTAAATTCAGGAGCTCTGTCCACTTCTAACCCGGATCAAGATTGGGCTCTCCCCCATTTTGTTGCTGGGAATGATGTTGCTGGCATCTGCACGCAGTTGGCTTAGGCATGGAAAAGAAGGATTAAACACTTTGTGCTATATTTGTAAGCAGAATAAAATAGGTTTTGATTTCCATTTAGAGCAGTCCATGCAGTGACAGGTTTCATATGCAGCACTGAGATAATTTTGTTCTGAAATGGTTTTAGCCTATTTGTGAGTGAAATCTCTAGATGGGAAATGTAGCCAAAAGGTAGAATTTTTATCATTTTCTGTGATTTGTAACTACCAGAGTTTCTCAGTTTGTGGCTTGCTTTTGGTTTGGCTTTGTGAATGAAGGTCTAAGTCTAATTTTGGGAGCTGATCTCTAGGGCTCTTAGGAAGAACTTCGCTACAGAAAGGAAACCTCACTACAGAAGGAAAATTGATAAGTGACGCCTGTAATTCTGCAAATAGCACTATTGTGAGATTCCAGTGCTTGGGTGAGAAACATCACTTGGGGCAGGGAAAAGAGCAAGGAAGATTCTTGGATCAGGTTGGAAATTCTTCTTGGAAAAGCAGCTGAGTTGAGCAGTTTGTCAGTGGTAATGGAAGGGTCATTCAAGTCCTTGTGATCAAATAGATGAGGCAAACTCAGTGCAGGGTGAGAGATTCTCCAGACAAGATATTTTTGTGCCTTTAGGAAGCAAAATGCTAACTCTGTTTTTTCTTTTAGGCATTCTCCATCATAAATATCCTATTTAGAACTAAACACAAATCTTCACTTTCTGGATCTCCTAAAAGTACTGGAAACTTACTTAAAACATTAAAGTTTCTTACCTTTCTATTTGCATCATATTAAAAAATGAGAAGTTGTGGTAAAATATGATTATCCATAGGAAGTGTTTGATTTTTGTTTGGTCCTCTGTCTTCTACCTGCAACTCCCGTGTGAATTATAACACAAAAAGTTCCAAGAAAACTTTAATCTAAAAATGCTACATTCTTTTACATATGAAGATCTTAATTTATTTTTGGCTGAGTGGACTGACCATGCTCACATATTGGTTCATTTCTTTGGTTACCCCTAGTGACACCTGAACTTTGCGTTTTAATGTGTTCAAAATTTCTGGGAATGTTCTAGGCATTGATCCACCAAAAGAAAATACAAATCTGAAAGCAAGTGCTGAGCAGTCCTCTGTCACCTGGAGATCCATGAAGTTCAGCATTGCCCGCAGGTGGCTGAGTTGTTTGAGGGAAGCCACCCGCACTGTTGTGGTGACCCTGCAAACCTCTTGTACGAGGTAGCGAAAAGTAACTGTGGGAAAGGAGCAGTTCTGTAATTAGCTGCTGGCTCGGGTTGTGTGAGTAAAACATTTGTTCTTTCGAACAAGAAAGACATTTGGATATCTTGGATATCTGAGTGGGCTTTAGTTCTAGCAATGCCTTGAGTATTGAGTAGGGATCACTTGCACCAGGAGGTGCAAGTCTTGAAAAGTTTGAAGTATCTAACCTCTGATTTACATGGAAAAATGCTCCGAAATTCTGGCATCATTGTTCCTCTGTCCACTGAAACAGCCTTTATGACTTGTTAGTTTCAACTTTCTCAATTGTGGTGCTTTTTTCTTGGATAGTTAGAATTTTAGCCTGTTATAGGGTAAAGAGCATATTTGTTTGTAAAAGCACTGTAAACCCTTTGGGAATCCCCAAATAACCTATAGTTAAATGTGCAGTGATGGACAGTGAGTTCTTTTACCTGAATGAAATGCTTCCCACAAATGAACTAAAGCACTGTCACCTGCGCAGGTAGCTGTGAATGCCAGCACAAATTGCAGTTTGTTCTGTCAGGCTGCTTTTGGAAGGTGCTTGTCTCAGGTGTGAGATGTGCCTGGAGTCGCCAGCGGTTTCTGTGCTGAGGGCTGCAGAGGAGCCGTGCTGGGGAGAGCTGCTGGGCCGGGCAGAGAGCCGGGGTGCTGCCCTGCTCCTCGCTGCCCTCGGCACCGCTCTGCTCCTCCCTGCCCTCAGCACCGCTCTGCTCCGTCCCGGGCACTCGCCGGCTCCCTCACACCGCGCCGCGGCTGCCATGGCAAAGCTAGGCCTTGCTGTGAGAGCAAACTGCTTGTACAAGTGTTCTGAAAACAATATCAGGCTTCCTTTCCAGCATGATTTCAGACATACTGATGTTTCTGACATCAAAATAACTTTTGCTGTTGTCCTCTTAAAACGGGTGGCTGAAAACTGTAACTTCCGTTCCTTAGAAAGACATTGCATTTCAGCAGGAAAGGAGTGTGAGTGTTTGCTTTTCTCATTGCAAGATTTCATTGCGTTTCTTTGTCTGCAAGACTTTGGTATAGTCTTTGCCAGGCAATTACTATTGTGTTATGTCTGAAAATTTTCAGTGATTCTAGTGATCCTCTTGGGAAAGAAATATAGTGATTGTAAAGTTATTGCCCTGGAGTCTTTTTCTAAATACTTTTCTTCTTTGTCTTACCGTTTCTTAGGTGTCCTTTAGAGAGATTCTCTAATGCCACTCTCACAGTTTCAATGCACCCCATGTGTAACTGCTGCAAATTCAGTAGTCAAATATAGGATTTGTTATGAGTATAATCTGCATACGTCTCTACTGGACTAATGAGACCTGAACTGTTTTTGCTCTCTAGTAAAAACAAAGTTATCCAGGTGGTAGTATGATAAGTCTGACATGTTTATGATGTTTTTTCTGAAGTAAAAATACTCCAGATGGTAGATTTGGTGGTGTATCTGTTGTTTCCCAGTACTTTCTTACCTCTTATTTAATAGATAATTAAATCTTTCTGTCCATGAATGTATTAATCTAGGTTCTCCTTTTAGGCTTGTTTTGTCAGTAACTAGCTAAAAACTTCCCTCTGACTCATTGCTGCTCCTCTCACATTTGGAAATCCATTCACAGGTTCAGAATTTGAAGCTCACAGGGCACTAGTGGAGTTGGGTTGCTGCTAATAGCCCCCTGGTGGTAGCTAGGGCACTGATTTCTCCTTTTCACCTAGGAGTTAGGAAAGAATAAACCTTTGTTTGCTGCCCTAATCAGATCTGTAGGTGACTGATGTGTGTGTGCATGTTTGAGTGCCTTGGTGTGTAAAATGGATTTACTTGGCTGTAAAATGTATTTTTAATAAATAAATTGATACGTGGCTTGTAAGTGGATATGGACAGCTGACCTGTTTGTGTCTATTTAGGTTCCACTGGCTGAACATGAAGATAATTTTGTGTCCATGTGGTAGAGAAATCTAATACTAATTTGTCAGCACAGGGAAGATCTGTCACAGCACTGCACACGGGCTGGGGCACCGCTGCGCTCCCAGGGGCTTTCAATGGCCATAGGTGCCCATGAGCACTTCCTACACTTGCTTATAGTGCTGCAGAGCCAAGTGACTCTAAAGTGATGCTTGAACTGTGACTGAGGCATGCCCTGGCTTAAATCGAATTAGCCTTCAGGATACATGTAGCTGATACAGTTTGTGAACTCTTACACACCTGCTTTTCCCAGCCAGAGCTACTTCAGCATTTCCTGCTGGACTCCAGCTTTTCCCCCTCATCAGCAGCTTGGCATTCTTGATGATCTTGAAACTCTATGATATAATAATAAAGGATGTATTCTCTAGATAGTTTTTTTCATAAAGGCTGCATTTATTTCTTGCCCTCCAAGTGAAAAAGTTTAACTTCAAGTGGTAGAATGCATGAAATGTAACTTGTCCGTGGAAGTTGCTCTTTGTTCCGTGTATAACCAGTGGCTCTGGGTGTAAGTAACAGGATTTGCTTCCTAAGTGGATTCACTTGTGGGGAAAGGAGATGGACAGTAATGAACAAGCATAAACAAAGCTTCTGTACTACTCTTCTGTGAGTGAAAGAAGTGTGAAACACGATGGGGCGTACAGCTGGAACTGTGCTGTGCAAACTGATGTGTGAGTTGACTAACTGGACAAAGTGGGAACAATGACTGCTTGGTTGAACACTTTTTCCCTTTTCACTGATGGAGGAATTATTTCAGTAGGTTGTTAGAGAATGCTAAGTATTTAGTATAATCTATTTTTCATCTTTACATTTTAGGTCAGCAATTTGGCTTCCAAAATTGGAGTTTGTCTGCGTTCAAAGCTGTTTGCCTACAGTAATCTGCTCTGGTTGGAAGTGAACATGTCTCAAGTTCAGATTCAGAATCCTTCTGCTGCCCTTGCAGGGAGCCAAATACTGAATAAAAACCCATCTCTTTCACAGCCTTTGAGTATTCCTTCTACTACCAGTTCTTTGCCCTCTGAAAATGCAGGCAGACCTATCCAGAACTCTGCTTTGCCCTCTGCTTCAGTTACATCCACCAATGCAGCTGCAGGTAAGATAGAGGGTCAGTAACTATATCTTTTTAATGCTTATGGTTTGGCATGATGTGTTCCTGATGTCTTGCACCTACATGTAATTTAAAGTAATATTTATCCAACTGCAGTAGTTCCCTATGGAATGAAATCTGTTGGAGACAGGTAGGAGCATACTTTTACATAAAGTTCCAGCAATTAATTGATATGTTTGTAATAGTGAGGAATATTTAAGTTGTATTAAATTTTTGAAACATTACTATCAGTCTTTTCTACCAGTAGCGTGTTTTAAATATGAAAAAATGTTGTTTGAAATAGTTTGTTTAATTCTGTTATCTTTAGTTCTTTTATGACCAGTTTAATGATAAATATATTCTGCTATCAAAATGCAACAGAACAAATAAAAGGTAATAAAAATAGCTAATTGGGGAAAAATAGGAGACAAGAAATAAAATTAACGGAGTTTTTGAAATTATTCAAAGCAAGGGATAATGAGGAAGACTTGGAAGATTTGTTCCTTGACACATACTAGATGAGATGTGAGCTGTTTGCAGGAGTCTTCTAGCTTCATGCTTCAGGCTTGTGTTAGAACTGTGAATTTAATGATGGTGCTTTTTAGGCATGAGCATTGCTAGGAAAACCCAAAGTTCAATAGATTGTTACCAGTTTTGGCCAGTGAGCAAAGCTGTCTATTCCAGCATTGCAGACAACTAGATGCTAAGCCACTGAGATTTCTTTTTTTAATTAAAATTTGTAGTAAAGTTCACAGTTATCAGTTCATTTATCAGATATTACGTAACCTTTCAGCTCCTTCAAACATGGCAAACCCCAAAGAGAAAACCCCCATGTGTCTTGTGAATGAATTAGCCCGTTTCAACAAGATTCAGCCCGAGTATAAGCTTCTGAGTGAGCAAGGTCCAGCTCATTCTAAGGTAAATGTTCATACCAGTTTCTTACTGCTGCTGCTCCTCTCCTTCACCTTCAGGAGCGGGAAGGCAATGTGTGGGATTTTGGTGCAAGATAATCCAGAGCAGTGGAGAGGAAAGGGAAGCCCCCCACAGAATCAGTGGTAGGGAAGTGTGAAGCTGGTACCTGGGAAATAAAAAGTTGAGGTCCAAAAAATGTCTCATGAGCTTCAAGGTGTGAAGGAGTTGACATTTACAAAAAGTATTGGAATAACATTCAGAACATCTGTACAATTGTTTCATTGATCTGTGGGCATGTAGAAGCTTTTATGGTACATTGTGAACTTAACTTTGTTCAAACTGATGAAAAATGTCTTCAATAAACCTTTTAGAGGATTAAAGCCAGAATGGAGTTAAGTGTTACAGAGAAGGGTGAGTTTCCAGTCTGCTGTTCAGTGACATGGGCACAGCAGCTCTCCTGGGGCTGTCACCTCTCCCCACGCTGCTTTGAGTGTTTATTCTGTCAGATCTCGTGCAGGGTACTTGCCAGCTACAATTGTTGTGAAATTCTTAGTTCAGTAATCAGGAAAATCCTGTTGGTGTCCAAAGTGATGGAAGTCTGGGGATGACATGGGAGTTATGGATTACTGTATTCTCAACTTGTGCATCACTGAAAGACTCATTGTTTTCTATAAGAGAGTCTGATAAACTACATAAATTCTGAAGAAGCCTTTTACAAAATACCTGTTTGTGGTTTTGAGGTGTTTACAGTGCAGCTGACTCTTGGGGACCAGCATTGGGAAGCTGAAGGAACTAGTATTAAAAAAGCGCAACATGCAGCAGCTGCCAAAGCTTTGGAAGGGACAAAATTCCCTAAACCTACGGCTCGTCCATCTCGGAGTGAAGGCAAGAATCCAGGTATATGCCACAACAAACTGATTTAAAATAATCATACATAGAGAGAATACACCTTTCTGCTTTTGGTATGTATTGAAGTTGTATAAAGATGAATTAAAACTGTGATTCTGCCTGTTTAACAATGGCAATTGTCAGCTAGCAAGTACTTACTTTGTCTGTGCATCTGTTCCGTAGGTCATTTTCTTTTGGCAATTATTTTACACCAGACCTCTTGTACTGGATTACAGCTGATTTCTGAGCCAGTGAGACTTGTGGTAGAAAAATGACACTTACTGAGTGTTCTTTCTCCAGTCAGAATTGACTAGGAGTCAGTTCTTCATGCCCACAATATCAGAGAGAAATGTTTTAGCCCTCAGTAGCAATTTACCTGCCTTTTGACAAAGCCAGTTGCAATTTGAAAATGAAGAGTCATAGAAACCCCTCTAGGTCACTGAGGACAGAGAAATGTTTGATCATTTGCAGTAAGCAGGAGACACAGAAGGGATGTAGCATGTCTGGTAACTTAAAAGTGTATTTGGACAAATTTCTTCACTGCAGAAAATTCTTCTTCTGCACTTTGTTAGATATACTGTAAACATAGGTAAATTAGCAGCTTCAGAAATTAAAAGCTAAATGATAGAACCCTCCAAAACACATCCAATAAAAGCTCCCAGCAAATTCACTTTTTTGTAACAGGATTTCTCACAACTCTATGAGGCCGCTTTCATGTGCATCATATAGACTTATTCTCTTTTTGTTCATTAGCAGTTCTGTTTGGAATTCAGTCATTTAAGATGCTGCATGTGGCAAAAGTTGAGCTCATTTTTCCCTGCTGTGAGCTAGCAATAAGAGTTTAAGTTGTCTCAGTTCCTTGTGACAGGTGGACAACCCTTTCTATTCCTTTTTCTGTAGACAGTGTAACCCCCACAGTGGAGTTGAATGCCCTTTGCATGAAGCTGGGGAAGAAGCCCATGTACAAACCCATCGACCCTTACACGGGGATGAGATCCACCTACAGCTACACCATGCGAGGTGGCACCTACCCCCCACGGTAGGTGTTGGCTCGGGTGCAGCCCCCCGAGCCCGCCGGCCTCGCTGCTGCCTCTGGGGCTGCCCGTGTCCCCTGCCAGGGACGCTCCCTCCTGAGGCAGCAGCTTTGGAGAACTCCACCCACCAGTATCTCTAACTTGCCTTATTTCCACTGCTTTATTTCTTTGGGGTGGGGCAAGGCAGCTGGACTGAAAGTTGAAGTGTTTTTGAGAGTATTCAGGTACAGCCAGCTTCATGGAGCAAGTAGCTAAATATATAGATAGCTAAGTACTAGGTAAATATTTCTTGCATTTCCTTTCTGTGTAAAAGCAAAAGTGAAGAAAACAGATTGATGCTGCTTCTTCTGAAACTATTTAAATTAAAGTTGCAGTTTAAAGAATTTTATGTAGGCGTAGGAACTTAAAATTCAAAACTTCCTAGATTGCGAAGTCCGTAGAAGTGCGGTCATGTTCTCTTGGTGTAGCACTTGGTCAGAAATGTGTTCTTGTTGTAAAGCAAGGAATGTCAATATTTATTTCAAAGGTAGCTCACTAAATTCTTTTAGACTCCAAATCAAAATTTAGTTTTTTAAAACTAGTGCTTCAGGGCTGGTGTGGTTACTGATATCCAAGAGATTGACCCACATCTGACTTAGGTGTCTGTTTGCTTTGTAGGGCAAGTCATTTGCTTATTCCCCGCTCTCTTTGCAGGTACTTTTACCCATTTCCTGTTGGGCCTTTACTTTATCAAGTGGAGCTTTCAATTGGAGGGCAGCAGTTTCATGGGAAGGGAAGAACAAGACAAGCTGCTAAGCATGATGCAGCTGCTAAAGCTCTGAAAGTTCTGCAGAATGAGCCCTTGCCTGAGAAACCAGAGGTGGGAATTAATCTTAAATGTTGTAAGCATAAATTGCTAGAATAAACTGGGATATTTTTTTCCTTGTTGAGGAGACAGTTGGGAAATCTAATTCTGTGTAGCAGTGGTGACTTACTTGTGTCAATAGAAACACTTTGATGTAAAAGCATAAATTTCTATGGAACTACCATTTTCCCCGATGAAGTTATGTTAATTTTTTCACTGTCATATTTTTCCACAGCAATGCTGTAGACCTCTGTCAGATATGAGCACTGGAAGCATAGATAGGAATTAATATCTTACCAGGTACAGATCATACACAAACTTCTGAAGAAGTGCATAAATGGGCAACATAAAACTCAGGCATGGATTTACTTCCTATGACAAATTCCTGCATGATTTTGGAAAGAACCACTGAAGTTCTAGAAGAGCAGGAAATGCATAGAAATAGCAGACTCAAACACATGTTTTGATAGGAATATAAGAAGTCAATTTTTATCCCTTCATATACTTACAGCTGCCCAGCACTTTCCATTCAATACCATTATTGTGTTTCTCGTGCTTTTTTGTTGAGTGGCTTTAGGCAGAAGGTCTCATGGTGAGCACAGGAGTTGCGTTGCTGCTGGGCTGGCTGGGAGCCTGCACCATGTCGTGTGTGTTGGCTGCTTTGGGCAAGGACAGAACTGTAACTTGCAATCTGGGGAGTGTGAGAGCTTGCTGGATATGGAGTCTGGCTGTGTGCTGAGAAAGAAGGGAAATGAAGAATTGGAGGAGAAGGTAACAAGGGGTCTCAGACTGAGAAAAAAAATCACTGAGAGCTACCAGGAATGGCAGGGCAAGAGGCTTGAAGAAACATGAATCCAAGGGACATTGAGTTAAAACTTGGTGTGTGTGGGAGTGAGCATTGCCCAGGCGATTGGGCAAAAGCACTGGACCTGACAGTTCAGGGCAGAGGCTTGGGAGGCACTGATGGAGGTGCTTCAGGTAAGAGAAAGCTCTCCTGGAGGAATGCAGACTGAAAGATGGAGGGAAAAGAGCATGATGCTGGGAACAGGAGCTGGGGCTTGGGCTGAGCCCTGCCCTGAAATCTGAACTGGTGGCTGGCACAGTGTAGGCAGGGGCCAGCTGGTCATCATGCAGGAGAGGCCAAAGCAGAGCAGGATGTTCCCCTTCAGTTCTGGGAACCCCAAATTCTGGAATATTGATCTGTGACAGTGGTGCAGAACATCCCCTTTTTATGCTCACCCTTGTAACAGATGAGCTGCTCTCGTGGGCCCTTTTCCCCCTCAGGGAGCACAGACCCAGGGAGAGCAGCTCTGCAGGGCTCACATGTCACTGAATTATTCTCTGTTCACTCTTCTAGGAATGCTTCAGTACAGGTCACTTTATGAAAGTATATAGAATTGTGGAGTTGGATAGCGTGAGGTCTTGAGAACAAACTGCAGTTGTTGTAGGATGTCTCATTCTGTGTGAGGGGTGTAAATCCAGAGGCAGAGGAAGTAAATGAGGCAAGAGACTGCAAGAAGGGAGGATTATTTTATTAATAAAACAGGACCTGAATGGTGTCTTGACCTTGAGAAAACTGCATTTGTCATTTTATTTTTCAATTTAAATTTGACTTGTCTGTAGAAGAACAGTAGGAAATACAGCTTAGAGAAAGGAGAGTGAGACTTGGAACATGGTGTGCTGGTTTATAGCAAGTACTTGGATAATCAAGTTTTCATTTAAAGTTTGGTACTTAAATTCATTGATATTTGAGGCTTTCAACTGTTGTAGTTTTAGGAGTGTCTGAGGGAATTGTTTCTGTAGCAGCATTTCACCATAGCCAAGAGGAAGGTAGAATAAGGATGGTTGTGGTGCTGAGTGAATCCTGTTCATTCCTGCATCCAGTGAGGCAAGGGCCAGAAAGGATACAAGAGTGTGAGGTCATGAGAGGTGCTGTTAAAAATGCCTGTATACAACAGAGGCAAATGAAGATTTCAGAAGCAGACAAAATCCTGATACTTCCTAACAGTCATTTGATGTTGCCAGTAATTTTTTTTAAATGTAGTTATTTTGGTGTATCCCATTTGAGTGTATTCTTATGTAAAAAATACTCTGATATTTGAACTCATGTGTTTTAAGGGGGAGTAATTTTGTACATGTTTTTATTATTTGGGGGGATTTTTTACAAGTTTTTGTTTTTATGGAATTTTACTCTTGTTTTTTTAAGTTGGAAAATATTTGGTGCATAATAACAGTTGGGTGCAGTGATCTTAAAGATCTTTTCCAAGCTAAATGGTTCTGTGAGTCTAAGAAGAAATCATTGAGTAAAATGATTAGACTTTAAGGGAAAGAAGGACCATTTCCCACACCTTTTCAGGTGCAAATCTAGGAGCAAGTGGCATGAAAAAACATGGAATAATATTGGCTCTTGGCTGGACCAAGCCCTGCCTAAGAGCTGAGCTGAGTGTTGGAGCATTGAGGGGGGCTGTGGTGGGAGAGCTCACAGGGACCTTCGGGGTGGCTGGGGTTGGATGTGCTGCTGAAGGAGCAGGTGGGTTACTGGGCATGTTCAAAGACAGATGATAAAACATTGACTTAAAGCTTAGGAAACATGGAGAGCTGGGCTTCCTAGCACGATTCTTAGGCAGGAATTCTAATTTTGCCTCAAAATTTGCTTCTGTGTTTGTTGCCAGCTCACTTGGTAAATATCAGCTGCTCTTTATACCCTTAATGTGGAAGGACAGGCTCAGAGTGATGGCTGTGGTTAGTCACTGCATGCTGGGCAGCAGCTCCTTGGTGTTCAGCATTTGCTCATGCACCATCTGCCTTGAAGTGTGCAGGGAAAGGGAGAGAGAGTGTGTGTATGATTATTTTTGATTTATAAAGTAAACTGATCCAGAACTCAAGTAGAGTCAATCAGTAAAATAGTTGTATTCTGTTAAGGGTTATTTTGCTAATAATTCACTCTTTTTAGATAAAGGTATTGAGGAAAAGAGCCTTCATTTTGCACTATGCACACAGATGTGGGATGCACATACATTGCAATAGAGCAGATAATTCCATTCTATTTATTTATATTCTCTTGAGATGATATTAAGTGGGAAAATTTAATCCAATAAAGAGAAGTCATAGTCATCCTCACAAAGAAAAGCATAGGAATTTGAAACTCTAGAATCTGTCTGAAATTACAAGGAGAAGAAAAGTGCTTGTAATCAAAGTAGCTGTGGCAGTGTTGGTGAGCGAGGGCAGGGACAGCCGTTTCTGGCTGTGCCCTAGGAGTTCACGTGCTCCTCCCGGAATGTGCTGCTGATCCTTTGGAGCTTGGCGCCGGCGTTTGGCAGACGATGCTGGAGCCCTTAGGGGGCTGTACTGGACCGGGTTTCTCGGTGTGGAGCAGAGCAGAGCTCTGGGACAGCCCCACCAGGAGCTGCCCTGCCCTGCCACAGCTCCACAGGGGCAGCCCAGGAGAACAGTGCCAAGTCTGATGGGACAGTGGGAGGAGTGAAAACTTGAGATTAATTTTGTCAACTTTTTTATCTGAGATAGGAAAAGCCTGTCTTAACTGGTGGGATAAAAAAATCCTTTGTGTTTTAAACTAACCTGTTAGTAGAAGACATGGGGGATGCTTGCTGCCATCCAACAAGTTTTAATCTATGAAAGCTCTCTAGCTCAGCTCCCCTGATGCTGCTCCAATAAGATACTTAAATCATTTTTATTACCTGGTTGCATAACTAGTATTGTGGCATGATATAATCAGTGATATTGTTCATCTTTATCATAATCTTTCCAATATCACTAATGGACACCTAAAATTTCTCTGTTGCTGTTGACATGCATTGGCTCACATTGGTGCCAGCATCAGTGAAGACACTTTTGGAATCCCAGTCAGAGTTTTACTGGAGATATGTAGACATGCCTGTAGGAAAGCTTGACTGGCAGTGTTGTCTCAGCAGGTTTGAGTTCTCAGAAATGGTCAGCATTTGATTTAGGGCGAGTTCCTGATAGGATGCTCTTGACATGAGAAAGCAAAGCTGTAGATGAGGCACTTACAAGGGAGCATGTGAAAAGACACGACTGTGCCAGGGGCTTGTCAGCCATCCCTCATTCACGTTGGTCCCACTCTCAGAGTCTTTATTTTTCCTGCCCTTTCTCTTACCTGATCCTGTCTTAGTGCTTTTGGTGCAAATGTCCAATCAGTATATGAAAATTGTATTTCATAAAGGTACTTCCATTTGGAAATCAGTGCATTTAGCACTTCAATTTCATTTTCTATAAACACATTTTTAAACCTATTGGCCCTTATTCCATTTGTTCTTTCTTGTAATGAGCACATGAAAATATGAAGGTTTGAAAGCTTTTGCACATAGAACTTAATGAGCTTTTTAAGATTCAGTTCTGTAGTATGTGGGCTGCTTTTCTCCACATTCATGTAACATGACAGTAAAGGTTAGAGTATTTAAAATTTGGAGAGTTCAGTAAAGTGGTTGAATGGATAAAATTCAATTTAATAGGATCTTTATTTTAAATAGAGTATGCTTCTTTTAGGTTAACGGAAAAGAACCAGATGATGAAAATCTCAATAAATCTGAAATAAGCCAAGTTTTTGAGATTGCACTTAAAAGGAACTTGCCTGTGAATTTTGAGGTATGTTTACTTTACAAGCTCTAGATTTGTTTTTATTAGACTATTAAGGGTATGCATTAAGTTGAGTCTCTCCTAGATAACCCAAACAACTGACTTTTAACATGTCTTGTTAGTTGTGAATACACTTTAACCTTTGACAGTCACCCTGATTGTCTTGGAGTTTTTATGGTAAAGGGAAGAAAAAGGAAAAATTCACCTGTTCACAAATTCATGCCCTGAAACGATCACATGGAGTGAACAGCTACCTTGTGGTTGTCTGTGCAATCTTTTTTCCAAGCTTTTTAAGAAAAGCTTATTACAGTGAAGAACCAAAGCCCAACCCTGAATTAATGATTAGAACATGGAAGTGCAGAGTTGAGGCAAAAGAGTAGAGCTCACTCTGAAAGACACATATGGAAGTATTTGCTTAATTAAGCACTGATCTGGACTACCCATGAGTGCAGAATCTCACAAGTAGGTTTCTTTTCTTGCCATGAGGTGACCTCATGTGCGCCTGACTTTCCTTTCCCTTTGGCCTGGCTGCTTGCTGCCTCTTTGCCCCTCTTGATCATTTCAGTTATCTTAAATTAGGAGCTTCCACAGGAGCATCTCTGTTTCACTAAAATATTAATTTATCATGCTGCTTTTCTGAGCTGGCAAAGTAACATTTAATCCAACCATCTCAATTATTATAGTAAGAAAATGCCATTGTGTGTAACTAAATTGTTTCTGAAACTGTTCTATGAAATTTTGCATGAAACTTTCAATTATTGCAGATTAGCCTGAGTATCACTGGTAAAAATACACTGTCACACAAAGCCAATTGTGGGTGGAAGCTCTTAAAATTAATTCTTATTTCTTGACTTTATGGATATTTTGGAGTATGATGTGTTTTGAATGAAGTTAAAAGCCTAAATCTGTAGTGGGCAGCTGTCTCTTAGATGTCTTCTAGTTTCTTCAGAACTTCACAGTTCAGAAATCAGAATTTCTGGACTAAAATGCTAGATCCTAAAGAGTTGCTTTCTCTGTAATGTTTTATTGCTGTACCATGATATATTTAATGAGGTGCTGTTAACTGTGGGGAAGTACACACTGGTGAAATAGAACAGTCCTACTTTTATACTGAAACAGTAAATGAGTAAATTAAATAGGATGGGTTAATGACTTGTGTAAATGCTGTTTACTGCTTGCTGCATCTGATCTTTTAAAAATATATGCTTAGTTGGGTGGGAATATGTTATTAGAATATGTTTTACTTTTTGGATTGTATGAGAATCTGAAATCTCTTTATCCTTAGTTCTTGAGAGAAGTTTGCTATAAACAATGTGCCCTGCCATTTTTAATAAGTGTTTATCACGCTTTCACTCAGTTTTTCCCTCTGAAACAGGTGACCAAGGAAAGTGGTCCTCCCCATATGAAGAGTTTTGTAACCAAGGTATCAGTTGGAGAATTTATGGGTGAAGGTGAAGGAAAGAGCAAGAAGATCTCAAAGAAAAATGCTGCAATAGCAGTCCTAGAAGAACTTAAAAAATTGCCACCCCTTCCTACAGTTGAGAAAATGAAGCCACGAATCAAAAAGAAAACAAAATCAATAGTCAAGGTAAGGGGGAAAAGATTGGAAATTTTACTGTGCAAATAATCATCAGAGAGGCTTTTCTGAGTCGGTTTTAAACACTCTTCAGCTGCTCAGCCTTTACCAGCCCTCTGGTGCAACAAATGAGCTGGTACTTTGCTCCCACTCTAATGGGGTTCTGACACCACTTTTGTAGCAGTTATCAGTAAATTCAGGATGAAAGAGAACCCTTATAAAGGAAAGAGCAGCACATAAAAATCAAGCTCTGACTTTCAAGCCTCAGACTTTACAGCTTCAGGTTTTGCTTGTACAAATTCTCCTGCAAGCTTGTCCCTCCTAATATAGCAGGATTAGAATTTGTAAAGCTATTAGCAGGGTAGGTTACATGTGGTCAAGTGTGACAGTGGAGCCAAATAAATTCAGTGTTTCTCTTTGGCTGTGACAGTGTTTCATTAAGCAACTTTTATTTCAGTATTTTTAAAATCTAGAGATGAGTTAATTCAGAGGCATGCTGCATTCTGTCTATTAAACCGAATATTCATAAAGTTTGGCTTATTTCCTAAACACTGTTCTACATAGCTGCAAACAAGTCCAGAATACGGTCAAGGAATGAATCCCATTAGCAGACTTGCCCAGATACAGCAGGCCAAGAAGGAGAAGGAGCCCGAGTACATGCTCATCACAGAACGTGGGCTGCCCAGGCGCAGGGAGTTCGTCATGCAGGTGGGTGTGATGGCACACAGTGGAG